ATCTGGAAAAGAAAGTTAACTTATCAGCAGGGGTTAACACCAGACAAGCACTCAAGCAGAAAACAATCGCCTAATCAAGGAACTGAACAGGGAGCAAACCCCACGCTCACTTGCACTGGTGGTGTTGCCCAGCTGGGTAACTGCCAAGCTCGGAGAGCACCAGGCTCCTCAGTTCAACCCTGAGCTACGTACATTCTCTTCTATGAGAAAATAATCCATTGCAAATCTTTTCTTTGGGGATTTGTGAACAAAGCAGAGGATTTGCAGATCCTTCCTGGACTATTAATGGGGAAAACTTCTTTTTCCTATTTCAGGGTCTTGTGACCTTTGAGGATGTGGCTGTGTGTTTCTCCCAGGAAGAATGGGCTCAGCTGGATCCCCACCAAAAAGCCCTGCATGGGGAAGTCATGCTGGAGAACTCGAGGAATGTGGCCTCTCTGGGTAAGGGCCCCTGCTCTGCACTTAGAAGAGGCGCTTTGGGGTCAGGTGTAACCAGCTACTTGGCATAAGCCCGACTAGAGCTTCTGCCTGGGAGAAGGAGAAGATCCATTCCGGTGCTGCTCCGAACGAGGGAAGGTGTCAGATATTTCATGTTCGTTGGGGGGTACATTTGAGCTGGGGACTAGGACGTGTTACACCAAAGCATAAAGTGGTTCGTGGACAGCGCTGGAGGCAGAGACAGGCCTAAAACGGGGCGGGATTACAGCCCCTCTTTGTTGACTAATGCAAATTAGAGTGTCCTTGTGATTTGGCTAGAGCAACCAGAATATAGCACACGTGATGTGCCTAGTGAGGTCAGAGCTGTTAGGATGTAACTATGAGGTCATGGGGCCAGACTGCAAAGACCATAGGTTTTTTTAATGGATAAAAGAGGCAGTTCTGTCCTAGGGGCTTACTTTCTTCTGCTCCCCAGAGCTCTGCTTGCCTCCCAGGATCTTTTCCCAGCTGATAAAGCATCCTTTGGCCTTCTTGGTGTTTTATGGGTGAGCTGAGAGTTTTAGTTTCCCTAGGAAAGTGTTTTTGGTAATGGGGGTAAAAGCCAATTTGACACCCTATACTGAGCCAGTGCTTTGTCTGTCCTGGCTCTTCACTTGGCCCCCAGATCTCTTGCACTCTCATCTGATACATTGGCTGTAGATTAACACTGGTTCCCACCTCAACAACCACTAGTATCCTGGCCCCTAAGCCAGTCTTCTTTGCCCTATGAGCTCTTTGTGTCTGGTCAGGCAGGCTGTTTGTTTAATGGTCCTCCTTCCTTTCCTCTGACATTCTTCCTCTATAATTGCGAGGAACTTTGGACCAACTGCGGCAGTTTTTCTCCATACAAATATGTGAGTTTAACTTACTAGATAAAATATTGCCGGTTTTTTTCATCTGAAACCAAGAGCTTGAGGGTAAGAGGAGAATGAATGGGAAAGGGTATGTGGTCCAGAATAAATAGAAAATCATGGATAGCAAGCGACAAAAATTATAATAACCCAACGTGCAGTGTTATTTTAGATGAATGGCTTTTTAAAATGGTTTCTTCTGCCCATAAAATACAAATTTCCATCCCATGCAATTTTATACAGATGAAACTGGTAAGAACCTGCATCAGGAGTCCAAATTTGATCAGATTTAAATCAGGTTATTTTATATGGGTCAGAATAGCCTTTAGTATTTTTAGTTCTTGCAGTATTTCAGGAGGAAATTCACAATCACATCCCGTATTTTGATGTTTTATTTCCTTCTCTTAGTTTAAATGCACACTTCTTTCTTTTTCTCTGAAGGTGCTGTTGGGCAGGAGAATGTGAATTACAAGGAACTATTAGAAGCTCTCAGACGCAAAGAAGGAAGAGAGATGTTTGCAGATCAAACGGAACTAAAAAGTCACGAGAGAAACCAGTCAAAGGATTGGAGCAAGAAACATTGTGCTTTTCAATGTAATGAAATTCAAGATGGAGCAGTCCTGCAAGTTCCCAAGGGGAAAAGAAGGACAAAGTCTTTAGGGAAAAGTGTGAAAATATTCAGAGAAAATTTAGATTTAAATGAACATTATCGAACTGACTCTAAAGAAGAAGAGGATCAGGGCAGGGAAGATGAAAAAAGTTACAACTGGACTTTCATTCTTTCATTACGTGATAGAATCAATATGGGGGAGAAACCATATAAATGCAGAGAGTGTGGGAAGAACTTCAGGAGCAGCAGCCAGGTTACTTCCCATAGAAGGATCCACACAGGGGAGAAACCCTATAAATGCATGGAGTGTGGGAAGAGCTTCAGCTGGAGCAGTGAACTCACGTCCCATAGACGGATCCACACAGGGGAAAAACTTTATAAGTGCACGGAGTGTGGGAGGAGCTTCAGGAGGAACAGTCAGCTTGCTTACCATAAAAGACTCCACTCAGGAGAGAAGCCATACAAATGCATGGAGTGTGGGAAGAACTTCTTGTGGAGCTATCAGCTTACTTCCCATAAAATGATCCACACAGGGGAGAAGCCGTATAAGTGCATGGAGTGTGGGAAGAGCTTCAGGAGGAGCAGTGAACTGACTTGCCATAGAAGGATCCACACAGGGGAAAAACCTTATAAGTGCATGGAGTGTGGGAAGGGTTTCAGGGGGAGCAGTGAACTGACTTCCCATAGAAGGGTCCACACAGGAGAAAAACCTTATAAATGCATGGAGTGTGGGAGGAATTTCAGAAGGAACAGTCAGCTTGCTTACCATAAAAGACTCCACTCAGGAGAGAAACCATATAAATGCATGGAGTGTGGGAAAAACTTCTTCTGGAGCTATCAGCTTACTTCCCATAAAATGATCCACACAGGAGAGAAACCGTATAAATGCATGGAGTGTGGGAAGAGCTTCAGGGGTAGCCGTGAGCTTTCTTCCCATAAAAGGATCCACACAGGAGAAGAACTACACAAATGCTTGGAATGTGGAAAGACCTTTAGGAGCAGCAGTGAGCTTATGTCCCATAGAAACACCCACCCAGGGGAGAGGCCATACGAATGTATGGAGTGTGGAAAGAGCTTCTCTTGGAGTTCTCAGCTTGCTTCCCATAAAAGGATCCATTCAGGTGAGAATCCATGTAAATGTGTAGAGTGTGGGAAGAGCTTCAGGGGAAGCAGCGAACTAAGTTCCCATAAAAAGATCCATTTAGGCGAGAGACCGTATAAATGTATGAAATGTGGAAAGACCTTCAGAAGGAACAGTCAGCTTACGTACCATAAAAGAATCCACACAGGGGAGAAACCATATAAATGCATGGAGTGTGGAAAGGGCTTCTTGTGGAGCTATCAACTTACTTCCCATAGAAGGATCCACACCGGGGAGAAACCGTATAAATGTGTAGAGTGTGGAAAAAGCTTCAGGGGGAGCAGTGAACTGACTGCCCATAAAAGGATTCACAAAGGGGAGAAACCATATAAGTGCGTGGAATGTGGAAAGAGTTTCGTGGGGAGCTATCAACTTACTTCCCATAAAAGGATCCACTCGGGGGAAAAACCATATAAGTGTGTGGAGTGTGGAAAAAGCTTCCGTCAAAGCAGCCACCTCATTTCCCATAAAAACATTCATACAGGAGAGAAACCATATAAATGCATTGAATGTGGGAAGACCTTCAAGAGGAGCAGTGAACTCACTTCCCATAAAAGGATCCACACAGGCGAGAAGCCATACGAATGCATGGACTGTGGCAAGGGCTTTAGCGAGAGCAGTGCCCTCACTTCCCATAAAAGGGTCCACACGGGAGAAAAACCATATAAGTGCAGGGAGTGTGGGGAGAGCTTCAGGTGGAGCGGACAGCTTGCTTCCCACGCAAGGATCCACTCTGGGGAGACTCCCTAGACTAGCCTTACTGGGTTCTTTTCATACATACCTTGTCTTCCTGTTATGAAGTAAAACAAACTTTTGAAGCCATGACTCCTGGCTGCCTTAAGCTGACTTTTGCCCAAACCTGAAACCAACAGCCACAGAGGAAATTAATGTACTGGGGGAAGGTTTATAACCATAGGGGTAGGCAGTTTTACATAAGATGGACGGGCTTTGAATGGGCTTTAGTCATTTCAATGTGCCAACACTATTGCACCTTAAAAAATGACAAAATCCTTTAGTTTATGCTTTGTGTTTCTGATGTTCACATCACAATCTCGGACATTTCTACACCAACACACAGAATATGGGAAAGAAACAGGGTGATCTTGATATCCTAAAGCAGGAGGGCAAATAGGTTTGTCGCTGGCATCGCTAAAACCTGGAATGACACGTGGTTGGTGCATAGTGTTGGAAGACAGCAACTTACTCAAAGGGAATAGTGTCACCCGAAAGGGGGAACATTTTACTGCACATGGAAAAATACGTGGCTGCAGACAGATTAATTAATCGAAGCCTGAGTTCTGTTAAGAGCATTTGGGTAAGAGTAAAATCAGAGAAACAGAAGTGATCCAAATAGCATATAGACCACCTGGATGGCAGAACTGGTGGGCGAGGCCTCTCAATGTCAGGTGACCAAACTTTATGAGGCACGTAACAGGAACGGGAGATTTCAGCTACTCTGACGTCTACTGGAACTCTAATTCTGTCGAGAGTCAGACGTCCAGCAAATTCCTCCTTTCTTGCTGAGAACTTTAGCAGGAGGTTGGAGAAGGAACAAGGGGGTCTGCTCTCCTTGACCTGACGTTTACCGATAGGGAGAAATAGTGACAGGCGAAGGCAGCCGGATCCTGGGGGAAAGTGGCCGTATCATCCTTGAGTTCATGATACCAAGGGGAGGAGGAATGGAGGAGAACCAGACTTTTATGCTGGGTTTCAGAAGAGATCGGATGCAGCGGCACGAACGAGGAAAGTGCCTGGGGAGGGGTAGGAAATTCTGTATAATTCTGTGTAAGTGTAACAATGTACCGAAGGCAGAACAGCAAAATTCCAACCAGAAGGAAATACGGTAGACGTTGAAAGATACTGGGCTTTCTACAAACACTGGAAAGAAGAAGGAGGGAGAGAGATCCCCCTTTTGAACAGAAGAATTGGGGTTGTTTCTGTATGTAGAAAAGGGCACATGCTATAGAACAAGAGTCTGGAACAAGTCTCGCCTCTCTGTAAGGAACACACAGGTAATGCCCCAGGGATGGAAGAATGGTTTCTCATACATAAACCATTTTAGGGTATTCCCATTTGTTGGTAGCACTGCCAAGGAGAGCGGAAGGTGAAGAAAAGCAGGCGCTGAAGCTGAACAGGAAGGGAATTCCTGTGGTTGGTTTCTCACCTGGTCAGCAAAGGTCTCCTCACCTAGGCAGGTGATGGCCCTCTTATTCTTTCAATGTGATAGTGTTAACATTACAAACATTTCTTTCCCCTCCTGATACTGTGCACCAGTACCCAGGTTTTTACCAAAGTTAAAACACGTTTGCTGAGCTGGGCAGAGCTATGGCTTTTTCTCTCTCTTCTTAACTTTGCCTACCTGTTCCAAAAGCCTCACTGTGTGCTATGGGAGGAAGGAGGAAGAGAATACCAGGAACAGGGATAACAAATCATAGGAAAAAGGAGCGGCAGAAACTTCCTGCTCTGCCAAATACCTCTGTCAGGTAGCAAGTGAGGCTCTCTGGGGCCAGCCCCCGTGGCCTGAAGGTGCCCAGGAGATCCAGTCCTGAAGGAGGACCTAGAAGAAGCAAAGAAGGGCTGGAGCCAGCCAGGGCCCAGGAAGAAGAGGCCTCCAGAAAGCAGCCTAGACTTTCAAGGCAATGGAAGATGTTGAAAGCCCACTGGCCAAGAGAGAAGAATCTGCACGTGCTTTGCCTCCTAGACTCTGTCTTTCCCGCGGTGGATCCCATCTTCAGTATCTTTCAGTTAACTCTCATCTTGATAAGATGAGTGAACTCTCTTCTACCTGTGCCTGGCATGTATGACTTCACAGGCCTGTGTCTTTCATGGCTGCTTTTGTAGGGCAAGAAGAATTAGGCAGGACATTCAGAGTTGTAAGTGTAATTTGTTTCTTATCCCTTGTAAGTGAACAATCCCCAGGTAAACAAAGTACTACGAGGAGTTACGTTGTGGTGCTGTGGGTGACGCTTGTTATGTGTAAGCAAGAGCCAGGGAAGAGGAAGGGGAAGCTTGGCCCTCAGGCGGATTACACCCCAGAGAGGTCCTTAAGCTCCAGGTGCTGGGCTGCTGGCACAGACTGAACACGCTCACCTGGGTTGGGGGGCAGCAATGATGTCCTTCCTGCTGGAACGTCTGCTGTAGCTCTGCCCGGGTATCAGTGATGGCTTGCCTGCCCTGGCCCTGCAGCGTGAGGATGCCACGGCAGTAGTCCCTTGCCTGTGTCGCGGGGGTTTTGCCGAAGAGAGGAGAGCAGCACGCTGCAGAGGAGAACCGTCTTCATTGCAAGGATTCCAAGAAAGAGGGGCCCCGAAT